ATTTAATTAATTTTTTTTTTAAAATAAAAATATGGGACCGCAATATTCAGTTTTGTTCTATTCTTTCTTCTAATCGGTCCTTTTATGTCCTAACCAGGCTTTTCTCCTTGCGTTATATGACATTTGTATAGGATTGATATAGTGATGTGACCCGAATTCAATTTTCATATTAAATTCAGTGATCTATTGGATTTAATAAGAAATAAATAATTCATATTTCAATTAAATGAATTAATTTTAATCAAATAAATCTAAAAGCATTATACGTACAGTATTAACGTCAATATACCTTTTTGAAATTGAACTATTACAATTCATAAATTAATGATAAGTTATCATTATCATACTTTATCTAGACCGAATTAAGGCTTAATTCGGGCCAAAAATTTAATCTACACCCTGGGCATCATTTTGAGACCATAGTATATTCTATATAAACTGACTTTGCTATATAAACTGACTTTGCAATATATTAAAATATATCAAAATGAAATTAACTAATGAATGTTATTTAGAAGTAATCAAAAATTTTGAATATGACTACCATACTTTATATAATTGTCTTTTGGTTAACTGTGAATTTTGCCAATTTATAGTGCCAATGTTATGGGCTAACCCTTTCGATAATATATCTAAAGATTCTATAGATGTTATATCTATTTATCTTTCTTACCTTAATGAAAATGAAAAGTATCAATTGACCTCAAGAGCGTATCAAGTTGACCTTTTATGTATTCCCCAAAAAACTTTATTTGAATATACTGACTTTCTAAAGACATATTCAAGCTACAAGTTAAAAAATGTCATCTCATTGTGGTATCAAAATACTCAGAATATATCTAAGCCTAGTTTAGAAATTTCAACCTTTGTGGTCATCCAAAGCATGTTATTTCGAAGATATAAGCAAATCAAGAAATTCTATATTTCCATGTCTGAAGATAGCTCAACATTTTCTTTAATCACTAGCTCATAGTTCTATTCATCAAAACTGAGAGAATACCAATTTAAATTTGTTGTTTCAAATAGTCAAAACACAAATATATACAATTATATTAACTTGATTTCAACACGGAACAAAAGAATTCAGACCATCCGTATTATAGCATATAATGAAGATATACCAACAAATTGTCTAAAACCATTTTTAAATTTAATTAAGACTCAAACTGAACTCAAAGAATTTGAGTTAAAATATTTTAGCACAACTAGTTTTACACCTTTACTATCATATGAAATGCTCTAAGTAAAATTTCAAAGTCTTAGAAAACTAATTTTACAAGGAATCAAGTTTGATAAAAATAATCTTGCAAATCTTGTACTAAACTTGGAAGTTTTATCAATAAAACACTCTTTTGGAAATCCTTTTGGAGATCAAAATAATTTACAAAATCTTAAAAAACTTAAATTAGTAGATAATAATATAGAATTAAATAGAATTATGCTAAAGACAAAATGCAAATCATTAAAATTTTTTATAATTAATGAGAAGGAATTAAGCAATAAAGTAAAAGAAGAATTTATTTTTTTACTTTGTCAAAATTATCTAAATATAACTACTTTATGTTATGTAACTGATAATCTTATGTTCTCTTCTACACTTAGAAAATTTTATAAGCTTTGTCAATTACAAATAGGAGGATTTGCTTATTATAATCTTTCTTATAGTAGTCAAGATTATCTACAAACCTTAATCAGATATTTGCCTAGCTCTTTAAAAATTCCTAGCTTACTTAATATTTATGATTATAGTTATGAAAATTTAAATTGTTTTTTACAAGATTTTGATATAGAAAGGGTGAAGTTAGAAGTTTTTATACTACCTTTTAATGTTGAGCTTGATCTACTTCTAAATTTAAGAAAATTTATTGAAAAAGCTAAACATTTAAGATATATAGAAATAGTAAGATCAAAGAAATACAACATAGAAAAACAGAAAGACAGTGAGAGAGAAATAATTGATCTTTGTCATGTTAGAAATATAAAATGTGTTTTAAAGTATCAATTAGAGAGATATAAAGATTATTTTTGTATTTACAAGATAAATTTTGAATCATATATAGAAACAGAAAAATAATAATTATTAATTTTGTATACATTCGATTTTGTTATTGAATTCTTTTATTTGTTTTTCAAAAAAATTATATGCTTTAAGAGAGGCATAATTCGAAGATTACGATTATGATTCAAACTGATATTTATATTTATACAGCAGTTTATAACAATTATATATTAATAATATTCTAGCATTAACTATTTTTGTCTGCAATTTCTATTGATCGAAGCTTGTAGCATCTAAGAATATTATTATCTACATCTTGTATGATACTGAATCATAACTGATAACTAGAGATGCAAACTGTGAATTACAATATGTATAAATAAACTGTAGTTTATTTTAAAACTACAGTTAACTA